ACAGTACTCTCTGTGTACCCAGGCTTCAGGCTTGTCCTTCAGTAGCAAGAGGATATAATGATACAATTCTTTGACTGACATGGATTAGAGTTTAAAGTTCCTGGGTCTGGGTAATACTGTCATTCTCTGTGGGTACGATAGCACCAATAAAGTTAGATACAGACATGGTGGTCTGTCAGTTACTGTACTGCAACGTGCATAGGTTTAATGGTACAGAAAACCCTTAAATCTAATTTTATTGCTATATAGAAAAGCTGGAGGTTTTGTTCGTTCACTTTTGCAGTTGTAGGTAACTCCTCCAAACCATCATTCACTTTTGCTTGAGACAGTGACTTTACATACTCCTTGTCTTCCCCTGAGCTATAGAGCTTCCACCATTACTGAAAGTGGGGCTTCAGCTTTCTCAAACCAGTGCAGATATGTCGTCTTGGGGGATGGGGTGGGGGGAGAGACAGATTATGCAAAATTATGCCTATTGACCTCGGCTCTAGAAACCAAAGTACAATTTGCCTAGGTACTTTGTGTTCAGAAAGGCCAGACAGCATAGCGATAAAGGGAACCATTCGTTTAGTTTGTATCTAAATGTGAACGTCCTAATTTCACATTCTGAACAGGTATATATTTATTTCTTAAAATATGCAAATAACTCAAAATTTTGCAATGTATTTTCCAAATCTAAAAATTAAGGAAGCCTTTATTAGGAGGAAAATATGTAGAATAATGCATATGTATATGAAACTGTACAGAATGCATTAAATTTGTGTACCCTAGGGAAAATTGCAAATAAAAATGCATATTTGGAGAAAAATGTTCCAAATACTAGTGTGAAATTTTGTTTGAAATCTTGGGAATGAAATGCCTCGATGTACAAATGAGAAAATGAAGAATTTAGATAATTGACACAGATAGATTTACAGAAATGAGAAACTGAAAGAAATAAGAACTGAATGGTTCACCCATTCTTAGTCCCACATGGAACAGACTCTAAGAGAACATTAGCAGAGTGAAGTGTAATGTAAAAAGACAGAGGGCTAATGGATATGTTATCTGGCATATACAATCCATGCCACTATAAGCTGTATAGTAGATTTCACATAGTATCACTGTAACTTGTAATTGGATGTGTAATTCCTATATAATTTGGGAATAAATGCCCAATGATTTCCTTCAGTATCTTTGCACGAACAGCAGCTGAAGCTGTCAGGTGTGTTTATGTATCATATTTATCGATCTGTTAGCCTTTAAAGAATTGCTGCATGGTCTAAAGCCATATATAAAGCTTGGCAATTAAACCTCAGTGCCATGCCAGTTGTACCCAGGATTTCAGGAGTCCAAATTTTCAAAGCAATGCCCAAATGATGCCATTTGTAAGAAGAAACCCAGCAGCTATTGGTCTTTTTGACATATCCCTTTTAAAGAATTTCTATCAGAGAAAGAGGGTGCTTTGTCTGTAGTCAGAATAAACTCATTGTACACCCAGACAATTAACTCTTCAAGTGACTTGCCAGCCTCTTTAAAGCCACTATGCTACTTCTCTGTCTGTTTTGAGCTCTATTCAGACACTTAAGCACACCATTTTTGTTTTGTTTATTATTCCAAAAAAGAAAAAAAGAATAAAGTCCTTCACCAGAATAGTTGGAGCGGATCAACATTGTCCTTGCAATGGCATTTATCTCCAGCCAGCAGTGAATATGTCAATCAGAAATCAAAAAGCCAAACAGAAGAGGCTTTGAATTGTGTCATCAGGGGTCGAAGGGACTTCCAGCTGCCTATGCATGGGACAGCCTTTCTTGCACACCAAAGAATTGTGCTGTCTGTTGCAAATGCATACTCACTATACTGAATTACAAAGTCTTTGAGGCATGAAGAATATCCCCAGTTCACTTCGTTCATATCAGTGCACCTGCAAGGGAGCTATTAGGAGGGTGAGGGAAAGGGAGAGTGGGCTAATGTATTCCAGAAATACTTTCTGACTTGGTGGATGGTTATCACACCATATTGCTACAATTTGCACTGGCAGTGTTTGTAAGAAGTGGATGCAATTTATTTCAGAAGCTGGATCTCGTAATCATCAAGTTTTGATCAATATTTATGTACATACTACTCCGCATCAACATCCCAATTTAACCTCTTCTGGGCCAAGATAACAAACAAATTTGCAATCTTTTTTGGCCTCTGGGCATAATTAGAATTTTGAAAAAAATGTTCTGGCCATTTCTACAAAGTGACTACTTTGAAGGATGTTGGCAGTGCCTTCTGCTGCTTCTGGGAACATCTTTTCATTCTCCGTGAACTTGGTTCTTTTTTCTCATTCTCTCATGCTTAAATCACAACTTCATCCAATTTTATAGCTGCGTGGGGTCCCCAATAATTACTACAACCTATCATGGGATCTTGTGGCAGACACAAATCCTCAGCGTTCGACAATGACTGCTTCCTTGCTCAAACTTAGGGAGCTAAGTTTGAGCAAGGAAGCAGTCATTGTCGAACGCTGAGGATTTGTGTCTGCCACAAGATCCCATGATAGGTAAGACTGCAGATCAACCTTGTGCTGTCCCCTTATTCGCTGGCCTTTTAAATCTCTCTTCACGCTTTCTGTTCATCTTGCTGCTTTTTTCCATCTCCTGATTCTTCCACAGAATAGTTGCTAGTCTTTTGAATGATATCTCTATGTGTCTGTTTTATAGTTTTCCTTTCTGTTGTCTAACTCTGGTCTCATTGCTAATTGCCATTTTAGAGCATTGAGTTTAAGATCTATTGCTTCTCTACTTTTTTGGGCATCCGAATTCATGGTCCTGAGCATGAGCTTCAGGAGAAAAAAACTAAATATGTGTCACACGTTACATGTGCACAGATATGTGTATGTGAATATGCAGCAATGTACATAAATTCTAATAAAAGTGAAAATTTCAGTTACGAGAACTGAAGAAAATAATTTTCTCCTCTGTAGAGAAGGAAAAGCTCATTGTGATGGTTTTCAGAGTTGTGAAGTAAATCATTTCTAGGGTTACAGAAGCTGCAAGGTTTATGGTTCTATTCTTCCAGTTGAAAAAAATTCAAATATATTTATAGAGGCATGAACCTCATCTTACAAAATGTTCATCACCTAAATGCTGTTGAAATGTATGAGAGAAATTAGCAATAAATCAATTTGTACAGTCTTCTGTGAATAAATTAATGATTCCATTGGGCTAAATAATACTGAAAAGAATCCAGATTCAACTACCATGGCTGAGGCAATATTTTAAAATTTGGGGGACTACTTTATAAGTTTCTCACAACCTCCTGGGGAATCCCAACCCATAGTTGAGAGGAGACCTCTGTGTTATAGAATTGTTGCAGAAAACATGTTGATTACTTTTTGTGACCATTAAGTTTGGCTTTTTTTTTTTTTTTTGATATAACTTAAAAGTACTTGATTTTAAAAGGTTTTAAAATTTCCTACATATTGACACTGTTCAGCTTTAGGTGTATTTCCTCAGTTAGCTAATAATTTTGATCACCCACTTATACCAAATTTTATTTTTTTAATACAAATCTTAACATATTCTGATTAAATCCTGCAATACCATAATACATAGCCTTGTACATTTTTTACCACCTTGCCTGTATATTTAAAAAAATATCACTAGTTACATAATTTTTCTCTTCTCCCCAGTCTTGCTATTCCTTTGTGGTGAATTGTGTGTACTGAATCAATATTTTTAGGATAAAATATGTATAAAATTCAAAATTAGTTATTAACAGTTGATGAAAACTGAGAAAATTTCTGTTTTGCATATTAGGTATTCTGTTATGGTTTTGTAACAGAGGTTTCTGTATATGAGGATGTAACATGTGATAAGGCATTTATTTGTTTGTTTGTTTGTAACAAATATCCCAATTTGGATGAATGGATGGATGGATCTATCTGTCCATCCATCCATACATCCATTGATATCCTTACCTAACAAGACAAATAGGTACTTATATGGCTGGGGAGGCGGGTGCCCAGGGCATCTCTTCCATGTTTATTGAAGTACATGCAAAGGAATGCCATAATGGCAATATTGCACTGCTGATATGCCTATAATATGCCTCACAGTCTACAGTGCTTGTGAAGTGGGACTTTCTTGACAAGAAGCTAATATGGCTTTACTTCTAGGCATCTATGGACAGAAACTGAAGATTAATTATGTAAGCATTTTCTTCATTCTGTAGTGAATTTCAACATAATTTAAATGTTTGATATAGGCTGCAGTTACAGATATTTCTGAACAAAGAAAGGAACAACACTGTACTTGTTTTAGATCCTCTTCTGATATAGCTATGTTGGTATCAAATAAGTTACATTGTAAACTTCAGAAATAATACGGTCATTACCACAGTTTTTCTGAAATCTTGATTCTAAATTTCTTGCTGATAAGCTTAAAAAAACTAAGATCCTTCAAACAAAAGTAATAGGAAATACATGGGAGAGCTAGGATTTTGCAATCAAATTCTTTGTTCCAATTCTCCTGTCCATTATTACCAGGTACCTGTATGGGAAAGCCTCCATAAATTCAGGATTTTGATGCAGTGAGTTGTATGTGAGTTTGTGAATGGACTATATCACTGCATCCCCAGAATCTTTGAGGACATCATTTGTTTTGAGGTCACTGCATCCACAAAATATGTAACAACCTTATTAAGAAGAGGTTTATAGGAAGGGCTAAATCATATGAGATGAACTCAATGCATCCAAAAGGTTTTCATACTTCAGCAGTACATCAGAAGTTGTTGATGATAATATATGTGGGAATATTATCTAATTTAAAAATAGAATTTAAAAAATATTTAAACATTTTGCTAATCTTTTAGCCAATTCCCTAAAGTACTTTGCCTGTATGTTCTGATTTGTACTTCTTTCTGTCTCTGTGTATGTGTGATCTTCTTTCTAATGGACTTGGCCGGGCCATGTAAAAATCCCAAATCATTCAACAGTACTGGAGAGTAGATAGTATTTACCTCAATAATGGTAGTTTCTTTTCAATTTTTTTTAACCCTCAATTCAGATGATGGTTCAAAACCAACACCCACCATGGAAACACAACCAGTGTTGGATGGAGAAGGTAAGAGTTTCTGAAGTAGCTTTCTTTTTTTTATCTTTGTAGTCTTCAAAATGTAAAGTTCTGTAAAGAAAATGTCAAGCATTACTATATATTATACAAAAACCTATTTTAAGACAAATCATGTTTTCAGATAGATGCATTTTATGCACATTATTTCTCCATGGATTGGTTGGAATCATGGTGAGTTGTTTTTGTGACCATGATTGCAAAGGAAAATTAATGTGCTTCATAGCTCATGTACTGTCCTCTTGGTGTATAGGGCATTTCTCTTGGTATAACATAAGCCAGGAATAACTAGATTTACTAAATTAATATGCTGGTCCAGTATTGAGTTCCTTCAAAGATTGTCATTATGTCTATATATAAATAGTTACTAAAAGATATAACTTATAAACATTTACTATATGGTATGCAGTATGATTGAGAATTTCAGTTATGCTACAGTGATTTATGGTGAGTAATTTTGAAAGGATATGTTGTTCCAGTTGTCAACACAGAGAAACAAAATTAGTAAATAAAAACTGCCAAATTAAACTAGTTGTGCAGTATTATAAATCTGGGCTGCAACTTAAGCACCTGCTGAACCCCAAGGCACTAGTAACAGAAATTCTTGAAAGGCTGAGCTTAAGCAAGTTGCTCCTGGCTCTACAGATGGGAGTTTCGACATTAGGAAACAAATTCAGGTTACATGATATTCTTTACTTGGCTTTAATTATTGTTCTTCTCTTTTGTTGTATTTTTATTGTGCAATCTTCCATTTGGAATAATGTATGTGGTTCTAGTAACTATACCTAAAAAGTGATATTGTGGAGCTAGAAGGGGATAGAAAAGAAGCTACCATTGATAAATGAATGGCAAATTTGACTAATAAGGCTGTGTAAAACATTCAACGGGGGTATTTTGCAAAGCATGGTAGTATTAAGCAAAGCATCCCTTGAAACATTAAAGCAGCTGTATCCTCCAGAAAGCCCCAAAAGACTGCTTGAAAGGCTTCCCCTGGTTGGCTTCCAAGATGTACACAGCCAATGCTTCTAAAGGGATGTGGTTGTATATGCACATACAGATGAACAAAAGCTGAGGAAAGCCTTCAGAGCAGCTATGGCAGACTTTTGGAGGACATACATCCTTTTACATTTTCAACAGTCCTTTTTAATTGCTTTGCACAGCCGTGTTATCTATAGCTTATAGCTGTCCAAATTACTGTAAATTGTAGAAGCAAATTCCACTGATCAGTGCTGAGGATGAATAAGAACAATTTGGAAGAGAGGCTGGAGAAATCTATTAATTTATGTATATCCTGCCTTTATTTTTATACAACTTCAAATGGCATATATAATGCTCCCGTTTCTTATTTTCCCCAGAACAACAATCCTGTGAGATGGATTGGGCTGAGAGTGGCCCAAAGTCACCCAACCGGCTTTCATGCTAAAGGGAGGACTAGAACTCATGGTCTTCCAGTGTCTAGTTCAGCACCCAATCAATTAATTAATTCTAATTAATCAATTAATGGAGGAGGCTATCACTACTAATCATAATGGTTATTAATAATATCTAGTATGAGACATAGTTCTGAATATCAGTTCTGGCTGTAGTTCTGTTCTGATGCAACAGGATTCTTCTTATGTTCTTATTAACTGAAACTACACATATCTTTTTCTAATTGACCTTCCCAGTAATCTCACTTGCTTTCTCTTCATTCATTTTACATATATATTACACGCATGCATACATATTATATAGGTTGTGCAAAAGTTTCATTATGAAATGTTTTGAATATGAAATTTTGCTAAAACTCCTGAAAAACCTCTATTTTGAGTACAAAATGGCTGTCTCAAGTTATTTCCTAATCCTTCAGAAATTCTCAAGACTGTCGGGCTTCCGGTGAAGTCTGTGATGGACTAGACGTCTCCAAGAAGCGGAGACGGCATTACAGCGGAGATCAGCGCCTGGAGGGCAAACACTGGATGCCGAAATCTCTCTGGATAAAGGAGAGACAGTGAGATAACCCACTTGTACTCCAGACAGCTGCTCCTCATGAGTAAACTGCAAGAACAGAAGTTTTTGCAGTCAGCTTGTTAGTTCCATCCAGGCTCACAGCTGTAATGTAGCCTATATGGACAATAAGCCCAGCCAAACCTCATTTCTTATGCACTTTTGGATTTAATTATTCTACAGATAAAGAGAGGTTTTCCTTACCACAGGATAAGAGATTCCTCTTGGTGAGTTTCATTTTTTTTTTTGGATTACAAAACTAAAAAGAGGCTTCAAGGACTTAAAGACTTAAAAATTTTTGGCGAAAAGTTTAATAAAGAGATGATTTAAGAAAGTTTCAAATGGCCAAAGGGGACAATTATTTTGTAAGATTATTTTTTAAAGATTATTTTTAATGAAAGTGCATTGAAATAAACTGTAATTAATTTAGGCAAGTGAACCAGACCTCCATGGGAAAGCTTGTTGCTTACTATTAAAGACCTCAGAAAATTGGTGGATTTTACAAAACAAAAGATAAGTGTAATTTGAGTAGATTGTGTGGTTGACTGTTACTATGGAGATGTGGATGTGACATTGACTGCAATTACAGAGTATCATAAGAGACGAAAGCATTAAAGGCACAGCAAGATAAAAGAGAAAAAAGGGGAAGTTTGTCTTTTTCCCTTGTTTGAGACACTTTCACTTTTGGATTACAATATAATGGCAACAACATGAAAAGTGGCAAGAATGGAAGGGAGGAGCGGGTTGTTAGAACAGCTGGCAGAGAGGAATTACACCAGATTTACTTCAGAAGATGTTTGACCAACTCAGTAGCAAACTAGCTGAGTCACTTGATACCAAATTTACAGCTTTTGAAAAAAGAATAAAGACTTGTAAAGATGAAAGAGGATATGAAAGAAGCTAAATAGATGGAAAATTTTGTAAAGCAAGTTTCTGGAGATGTAAAACAAGTTAATGACAAAGTTGAAATTTTGGCGAGTAAGACAGAACTTACATATAGATAGATGGAAAGAAAACTAGATAATTTGGCTTTATTGGAATTGAGAGAGAAGGAATTTGGTTTGAGCTATTCCAGAGATGTCTGATGAAGATATTACAGAAAAGATTATAAAGCTTTGGCAATTTTTTTGGGTTGGGAAGAGGCACATACATAGATAGGAATAGATAAAGTTCATAGAATAAACTCAAGATTTGCGAGGACAAGCAATGTTTCAAGGGATGTTTTGGTGCATTTTGTTAGGAAGAAGACAAGGGATCAAGTTTTGCAGCAGCATTTTAATACAAGACTGAAGATTGACAATGCAGATATAATTGTCCTAAAAGAAATTCCTATTAGAATTCTACGTGAGAGTAAAAAAAAAATTTTTTTTTGACTGAAAGATTAAAGCAGAAAAAGATTCCATGTAGATGGGATAAACTGGAAGGTATGATTTTTACTTTTAAACAACAGAAATTCCGATTCAAATTCCTATTGAATGAGGCGAGAGTTTTTAGAAAAATTTAAAGAAGAATTGGAAGAGTTTCAAATGGAGGTGTCAGAAGAGATTACATCAAAATTACAACAGATGCAACAGGATTCTGAAAGAGATGACTACAGTATTGATTTTTCTAAACTTTTGGCTTGATCATGGATTACATGCTTAACATGGGATATAAATGGAACAAGTGCTCCTCAAAAGAGAAAAATATTTTTCATTATTTAAAAAAATTAATAAGATATAATTTGCCTACATGAGACTCATATTAGAAAAAAGGATGTAAAGTATTTGAGTGAAGAATTTATTTCAGCAAGAACAAAAATAGAAAAAGAAATTGAGTTGTTTTGTATATTAATCCCCAACTAAA